GCATGTGAGATTCATTAACGGCAAATATTTGAAAAAATATGTTCTTTCTTTATGGGAATGTGAACAGATAAAAGCGTAATCAAAATATGTTGAACGATTAAGGATAACAAGGTCAGAGCGAAATACGTTCAAATAAAGTCCTTTATTATCAAACGTTCATTACAAAGATGCAAAATACAAATAATGGATGCTCTACAAACTACAATTAAAAGTAAGCTAATCTCCCGGTCGATCGCCGAGTAAGAGGGTGGACTGGCCTCGCACCGCCTTCCTAAATGCATCGCTGCAATGACGGGCAAAGAGGCTGAAAAACACTCTCAGCAAGCAAGGTGGCCCGCAAGCATCCCAAAAATTGCCTTCTATCATTGAACCTCTTGTAAAGAACAAAGAGACGATGGGAAGAATTTTGATGGGAAAAATTTCGCTGCTGGCCAAAAAATATTTCCTATATCTCCCATACCAAAGGTGATATCAAGACAAGTAGTAAAATGGGCGGACCAAATAATCCATCTTTATAGAAGACGAAGGTTTTGGATTGATTGTCAGAATGCCAAACAATGACAGCAAATTGGTTTTGAAGAAGAGAACGAAAATGAAGATGGAAAGTGCGAAGCATACGTGCATTTATAGGGGGTGGAGATGAAGAGACAGAATATGAGCAGCCACATTTTGCCTAGTAAATGGAATTAAGTAGCCCAAAGTCTTGGGAAAAGATGTGGAAATATCAAGAAAAAATGTGCAAGATTTTTAGCACAAAGCAGTTAAATGCTTGAAAGATTGGCGATTAAAAGACAAACGTCAAATAAATGCACAAGAAGTTAACATAGATGTTCATTAATGATGAACAAGGTTATAAAGGGAAAGTCAAATGCGAACTTACAAAAAGAAAAGTTAATGCGTTATATGTCTTAATTACAATCTGCCCCATACCGAACGAATTCTTTCCCTAAGTTTTTCCCAGTCCTCGTTCTGCCGAAAGGAAGTGATGTTCAATTCGGCCACGACATCATCATTAACTTCCAACTTCTTGTACTGCTCGACCAAAGACTTAGTTCGCTCAATTTCTTGGGAGGCATTACGCTTTTTCGCAGCCATTCTCGCCTTGCAGTTGTCCATTTTGGCTTGAAGTTCCTTCATCTGAGCAGCCAAACTAGCCATCAAAGAGTCTTCAATCATGACTTCGGAAGAGATTTCTTTCAACTCGTCCTCAGCTTTGTTGATCTCCTGACGCAAAGACTCTTTTTCAGATACGGCGTGAAGATATTGAGTACTTTTGGCCTTCAGTTCAACATTCTTGGCCAGCAAGGAGAGGACCTCGGAATGGATAACTTTCAACGTCGCTTTAAAATCAGCAGAAAGATTGAGCGACGGAAGTGTTAGTGCTTGCTTTAACTTCGCATTCAAATGCTCAAGCTTATCCTTATGTCTGGCAGCACTAGCCTTACCAATGTCCATATCCATGAAGGACACGTTCTCAAATATCAACTGCTTGAGGAACTTCATATCTTCCTCTGAAGAAGTAGCAGGACAACCAGTTGGAGCAGGGCGAGATGTCTTGACTTGCCCCCAGGAAGCGAACAAGTCTTGGATGGAACGCACAATCTTATCAGCATCCTGCAAAGAAAATTGTCAATGTTGAAGATTCTCACTACAACGAACAAGATGAAATAACAATAAAAGTGAAGCAAATATTGCCTCATCAATAATCTTGGAAGATGACATATCCTCAGCCAAGTCTACCACTTGTGGCTCCACCATTCGTGAGGACTTCCCCTTGTCTGAGCGAGAAGATGTTGCCACAACGGGCAGACTCATTGGAGCATCTGCAGAACTCAAAAGCAACAAATCAGAAACCAATAGCACAAGCAAAGGTAAAGCATCAAAAAATTTAATTACCTTCTGCCTCGATGTTTGGGGGGTTGACGCCCTGGGAAGAAGGTGGTTCATCCATTGGTTGTGATGAGGATTCTGGGACTAAAGATGTCTCTTTAAGCGTAGTCCCTTCATCAGCTGGTATGGATGAAGCAGCCTCAGCGGAGGATGATAGAGCAGGAGTTGCCGATACCAAAGCCTTCAAAGGAGAGGCTGAACTTTTCTGAGAAGTCCAAATAAACCATCAGCACATAGAAAAGTTTCAAGTATGGAAAAGTATGATTGTGAGTAAACCAATTTAATTACCTTCCTCTTGACGATAAGAGGGGTGCCATCATCATCATCAACATCATCCTCCAGAATGGGAGATGCTCAGGCTGGCCGTTTGCGGCTCAGGGCACTTTTGGCTGCAGTAGGCTTGGCAGGGAGAGAAGAAGATGGACGAGCAAACTGTTTAGCGCGACGAGGAGGAGGAGGACTCCGGATGGACAAAGGGGTGACTAAAACAGGAGGAGGGGAAGAAATGAGTGGCTGGTCCAGTGAATGAAAGGCACGATTGGCGTCAGTCACAAATAATTTGCGCTTCACCGACGGCAAGAGTTGCTCAAAAAGGGGATGGATGGCACAGCTAGAGTTGAAGGGGGCTAATGAAAAATGGCTCGTCAAAAGAAGATTTCGAGCATTTATAGCCTCTGCCTCCGCCTTATTAATGATATGGAAGCGGTCTATCAAGTTCCCTGAATAGCAAGGAGGAACAGGTCAAGTTTGGCCGAAACCAAGTTGGCGAGCAAGAAATTGGGGAGCATATATTTCTACCCCAGCCTTGGCATTGGTCCCAGTCAAAATATCATGAAATAACTCCCTCCCGATTAAAAACTGGATCTAAATGAGCAGAGAGGTGCTCGCGCTGTCTATAGTGGAGGGAGGATGCACATAGTCTGGAGTCAAAAAAGGAGGAAAAGGAAAGAAAGAAGGGATTGAATCCAAAGAATAAAAGAAAGAAAAAATGTCCCTTCTAGACATATTTACAGGAGCCAGGGGCTCAATGGCTAGCCCATAGCAGCTAGCAGAAGGACGAGAAAATGATGGAGCACCAAGCGATGAAAAATAGGATCTCAACCACATTTGAGTGAACCAAAGAGGTCCACTGCCAGTGGGAGATGCACCATTCTTCAATTGAGATTGAAGAGAAGCCATGCCTCTATAGAGGACAGCCAAAAAGAAAAAACATAAATTCAGAGGCCTACCACGCGCCAATTCGTGCGCTATAGGTAAATAGCTCAGGGAGGGCTTTATGCTTGGTATACACAAAACATATTTACAAAGTCAAACCAAAAGAACACCACTCGCTTAGTATGGTAAGGTTCAGCGCTCGAGTGGTTATGAAGGGTTTGTAGGCTTGAATCAGACTCGGTGAGGTTTTTACCAAACTTTGGGGTGCCAAGATACCAGGAAAAACGGTATTGCCCAAAGGTGGCAGATTCACTAGGGCCCCAACATCCCTTAAAGTAATAGACATGGGGCCAAGAGGGAAAACAAAGGTATTGTACTCAGAAGACCAAAAACTTAAAGCGATCGAAAAAAGTGCTGAATCAAAAGTTGGGGGTTGAAGAGAGATTTCTAACAAATCAGAAATCCTAGCATTATCAAAAAGTTCCTTAGTAAGACCATGGTCCACAAGGCGAGCATGCCACCTATGGAAAACTACATCAGATTTAGATTAAGTGCGAATACCTCTTTCACGAAATGGGCCTAGCGGCAGAGAGTTTAGAAATGGAGGGCCTTAAGTACAAGGAAACAGCTGGCCTACCGCCGCTTGTTCGACTGCCTCGGCATTGTTGAAGAAAGGACTTAGGTAGAACTCATTGAGTTCGACATTGGCAGGTGCGAGAAAGTTCGGAGTTATGTATGGACGATTAAGGAGTTTCTGAAAGTCATCAAAACTAAAGGAGTCGCCAGATTGAGATTGTGAAGTAGCCATTATGGACGAAACGGAGTTTTTCAGAGTTACGTAACAGGGAAGCAAAGAGATGAACAGTAAATTGTGGGAGAGAAACGCGAAAAAGTGAGGCGTGATTTAATGGTGCAGTGAAATGGCGTATTTGGGGGTTATAAGGGTTTGCAAAACGTCGCATCTTTTCAAGCTATGGAAGAAAACAATGATTGAAATTCTTGGGAATTTCGAATGTTGCTGGAAACACAAAGTGAATATGGCAAAATTTAATAATTGGTATTAATTCTGCCATATTGGGAGGTAATTGTTGGCACATAAAAATTCAGCCCAAATCGAACGGCCCAAGGAATGAAGCCCAATTGGAGGATCCCCAAATCAGATAGCCCAAAGAACGAAGCTCAATCAGACAATTCAAGATGAAGGCCCAAATAGGGAAGCCCATGAACGCGGTAACACCATCGCCCAAGCTTGCAAATCGCCCAGGATCTGAGCGAATGGAGTGCCATGCAGTCACCCAGAACTGCTACTTTATTCTCGCCCAAACCTTCGAGTCGCCCAAGGTCTTAGCAAACATGAAGTGTTGTGGTTATCAAGAAGCGCAGTTATCAAAGCAGTTATTAAAGCAGCCCTATCACGTTCCACGATTCAAGGAATTCAATTGAAGACGGTTGAACAACAAAGAGTAATGGCAGCAGTTAGAAAAGGTAGTTCCATGACAAGTTGACCATTACGAGGAAAGTGGGCAGTTATAGAACGATCAAGCAGTTTTTAGGCAGTTGATCACAAAAAGATCATCCAGGGAGTATAAAAGGAAGAAAAGACATAGAGTAAAAGACCCCAGAATCGAAAAACTCTCGAACAGAGAACATGTAATTTTAAATTTCTTAGTTTAGATTTAAATACTTCTTTCAGTAACTCGTGTGCTTGCGCCCCTTGGAGGCATTCTGTTTTTACTTTTCAATTGTAAAGTTATCGCCAATAAAGAACACCTATTTTTGGGATTTTGTCTCAAGAGGTCTGTCCCTTACACAATCGTCTGATCTCTTTTTAATTGTTAGCGACGAACTCGCGCGAAACAGTAATAAACGAGGCTACGACACCCCACATTAGCAACTTTATTCTTTTTGCTATATATACCTCTCTCTATGTAATTGGTCACATTTTTTGAATTCAGATATTCCTATGTGGCCATCATCTCCAAGGGCATCTGGATCGGATCGCCGTCTAATCCAAAGGTAGGTTTCAATTGTTTTATTTCTTCTTCTTGTTCGTACAACACCTCGTCTCTGTCTTTCCAATCCTCCATTACCGAATATTTTTGATGGAATCCATCATAATGAGTTGCAAAATTTATAGATGGGCATTCTAGATCTCAATAGCAACCTTTCGAACAATTTTACTAGATTCTCTAGAAGAAATGTGGAAGTCTTCTGCTGCTTTCTGAGGTAACTTTCTTTCCTCGTTTTGTTACCTATTATTTCTGAAGTTTGTGTGGCTTTTTCTTAGAGTTGAACATCGGATGCAGCACCTAAACAAATGTGAACTAATGTGGTCAATATTTCAGCTTGAGAGTCCTGTGAGGTACTTGGAAATGGAGGAGATACCGCAGATGCTATTTGAAGATCAAGTTTCTAGTTGCTGGAAAACCAATATTCCTTGCCATTCTTCACTTTCTTGGGGATCTCCTAAACCGCCAGAACTACCATTTACGGACTGAATGAACGATAGTTTTTCTGATTTTGTGTTGATTGAGTCTCCAAAAGTGCAGAATCCTTGAATTGCTCCAGCAAAATCTACCTGATTAGTATCGTCAACGATTATCGATGATAATCTGGAACGCGGATGGAAATAATTACTTTCCATTTGGTCGACCGATTATTGTGCAAAAGTATTCTTGACGTTTATGCTTATGTATGGATCGAGACGGTATAATTTCGTCTTTGCTAGTAAATCCAAATTTTATGTTGTTAATTTTTTCAAGAGCATAGAGTAGCATGTCTCAGCAGTCTTCTTCTAAAACTATGTATGAATTTGCATAATTGATGGAAATGGTTAACTCGGATGAACTAAGCACGCAAACTTGAAATGCTGTCGATATATAACTGCCAAAAATAAAAAGATTGAGGCATTCGTTACAATTATGATGATATCTGAACTAAAACAAATTTTCAAGATCGGTAGAAAGTTGACGTTAACTTTAAAACCAATTTGTCCTTAAATACTTCGCCACCACTAAGAACGTACTTCTTCAATATATATTTCCATCTCCATCACTATTTCAAACCTAGAGTCTAAAAGGATGTTTATCTTAGGGCTGGGCAAATCTCCCGAACCGAACCGACCGAACCGAACCCGAACCGAACCGATCCGAACCCGACGGTTCTTGTCAAATTAAATACCCGAACGGGTATCTGAATTGAGAACCGACGGGTACGGTTCGGTTCTCGGTTCTAGACCAAGAACCGAAGAACCGAATAAGAACCGAATCTTTCTATTTTTTTTATATTGAGTAAATCAAATTATTTTAATTTTAATTTTTTCTAAACAAATTAACAAATTAATGATTTCTAAATCCAAATTTTTGGCCCAATTACTCATTTTATTATTTCATTTCTTAGCCAAACAAGATCAAATATACTAAATAATCCTAAACACCTACAATAAAGTGCATAACGTTGTCTCGACTTTCGCACTCACTCTCGCAGCCTATCTAATATTCCAAAACCTATACAATCGTCGGCCGACACTCTGACTTCCGATCGAAGTCGTGACTTTCCCCGACTGAAACTTTGATCGTAGCGATCATTTGAACAAAATAGTTTACTAATCTCTGACATTCCAAAACAATTGAATGTATCATTAGTCGTATTTATATAACGTTGTTATAAATGTTAAAAAATTTAATTATAGTACAGAACCGAACGGAACCGAACCGATCCGAACCGAACCGAATGGAACCGAACCCGAACGGTTCCATAATTATATTTGGACCCGACGGTTCCATTTACTAGAGACCCGAAAAGTTTGGTTCGGTTCGGTTCTAAAGAGAACCGAACCGAACCGACCCGCGCCCACCCCTAGTTTATCTACCTAAATTATTCAGTTTTCTTAGGAGTAACTTTCAGGAGTAAATTATTTACTAAAATTTTATTAACTTTTTAATTGGCTAAACTCCAGTTTTAACTACACGATTTATGAGATATCAAAACTTTTATCATCTTTTCAATTATACATTTAATATCATACACCAACTTTAAGAAAGACGATGGATGAAATAGTCGAAGAGTTGGAGAACGAGTTGACGGCGGAATCCAAGTGGATGTACGAGTAACGAATTTAAATTTGAAGATAGGGACCACTTTTTGTAGCAAAAGTTGGAGACTATCATTCCTGTATCGAAATCTGGTTTAGCTCGATGGGTTCGAGGGCATTTGATTTTTCACGAGTTTTTTGAAGGCCCTCAAATTACTGTATCAAAATTTACTATATATTTATTTATTAAAATCTAGCATTGTGCAGGGGCAGATCCAGAATCAGACTAAAAATTGAGATATTTAGATTCTCGATCGTTCATTTTATACGTTTCATATTGAAAATTATTCGAGTTTCATATGCCTTGCAAGTGACATTGGAATATAAATTTGGATGGTTCCTAATGTCCAAGATTATTTGTGTAACATTAATAAAAGGTTGAGGTTCAATATATCACAATTATTAAGCCCTTGTTTAATAGAGATTAAAATGATAATTTTAGTGAATTTTGGTAAAAATTGATAAAATATATGATTGGAAAGTTTTGAATCTTATGAAATTTATGATTGAAATTAATTGTTGATTTTATTTAAATTAAAAGGTTGATTTTAATTCTCACCGAACAGCGGCTAAATATAAGAATTTATTGTATTGAAACGTATATAAAAGATAGGGTAATTAGCACAAAAAATCTCATATCTTTCAATATTATTGTGTAAAACGTACATACATTTCATTTTTTGGCATTTTCATCCCAACATTTCACATTTCATTGCACAAAATGTCATTTTCATCATTTTTTTTTAATAAAATGATGATTTTGCCAATTCAAATAAAACAAAAAGAAAAGAAAACTAAATAACTAATTACAATCTTAGTTCTAAATTTTTTAAAACATTACAGATAAATCCTAATCTCTCCACTGTCACCACTTTCACAACCCCACCAAGCTGCTGCCTATAGATTCACATAAGCACCAAGCCGCTGCCCATAGATCCACATTAAAATGTGTGGTGCTATTTTAAAATAATTTAATCCGTAAAGTGATCTATTAAGCCCCGTTTGCCCCCATTCTTTTTCTCTATCTTATTTTTAACTATACAATCTTCCAAAAAATAATATTACACTCAAATAAAAAAAAATTATTCTTTTTCAGCCATACATTTTTCAAAAAAGCTTTTCCAACCATTAAAATTTGGGAAAAAAAACGGGGGCTAAGTTTAATTTTGGACTAATGGGTATTAAATGTTTATGGGAATAAAGTTTAGAGACCGAAGGACCTTATTTTGAATTGATCAGGGGCCAATTTGAAATGTCACCAAAATTGATAATTGCCAATTGTAGTTATTTAATATGGAGTCATAGTCCCCAATTGAACGTGAGTTTCATAGTTCTCTATATCACCATTAATAGAGAAGAAAATTGAAGAAAATCATGTAACAATTGAAAGATCAAAACCCGTTCAGAAAACTAACAATTATGGATCAATGTACGCTTCTGCTTTTTTATTTTTCTCTTTGATTTCAACATAGAAAATCTATGTATTTTGTGAAAGGATTTATAAAACTTTGGTTCCTTTCAATTTACTACACATTTTTGCTAACCATTATTTATGATTCCTCAAGAATTATTCTACGAGTTAATACTCATTAATTAAAGACGTGATTGAATTATCATTAACTTACAAGTTTATTTATATGCAAGTTCAGCTACAACAAATAATAAGTTAGTATCTTTTTGTTAAAATAAAAAGTAATTGTCAAAATAATCCAAACATAATTAGAACCAAAAAAATTACTTGAAATTACTTTTATACCTAACAAAATTCTGATAGTTTGCTTTTGCTGTGATTGACAAGACTGCTCAAGCGAGAAATAAGGGGCCATAATCCAGCATGATAATAGATAGAGAATTTAATTAATAATATAAAATCTGTATATTTCTAATATACAAATTAAGGAAATAAAATTTTTTTTTATCAATTATTGGCATAACTGACGTGCCACCATTCACGTAGTTGTCATTCCGAGTAAATCCCGTAAAGACATGGACCCAATTTTGCAAAATGAACTCACAATAATTCGAGCCACCGTGCCAGTGGTCATCAATTGTTTGATTAAGCGCCCATTTGAGCCCCATTAATTTTCATTACATTACATTTCATTTTTTTCTCTCTTATTTTCAACCACACAATCTTTCATAAAATAATATTACATGTAAATCGAAATTTTTTTTTTCTTTTTCAACCACTCATTTTTCAAACAAATACTATTTCACCCATTAATTTTTTCACGTAATGGGGGCCAAACAGGGGCTAAGCTTAAAAATAAAAAGTAAAATACTTTTTAAAAAATAAAAATGGTAAAAAGCTAAGAAAATGTTTAGCGAAAAATGATTAAGGCCATCAAGTAAAGATGGTAGAACTAGAAGCATGTAAGTTTGACTAATTTTAGTATAAATAAAAATTATTTCTTTTAAAAAGTAAATAAAGAAAATTTTAGATTTGATCAAAAAATGTATTTAAAAACTTCTAATAAAGTATAAATATGAAAAAAAAAATATTCAAAACTAACTTTATATGCTTAGTCAAGCAAATCATAAACGAGAGGACATGATTAAATGCATTAGAACAAATTATAGATGAGCAATGATGAGACTATTAATAGCCTTGTCAAGTGGAAATCTTCAAATGGTTAGGAGATATAGGTATAATAATTAATGACTTATAAAATTGATATATTTTTTTCTTTAAAAAAAAAAAATCAGTTTCAGAAAGTTGGCAATTAGGCAAAAATTGAAGTAGAGAACTTTTAGGTCATTCAGTGGGAAAATTTTAATGGGTTTTGGCCTTCAAATTGAGATATTTAGATTCTCATTTCGTATTGAAAATTATTCGAGTTTCATATGCCTTGCAAGTGACATTGGAATATAAATTTGGATGGTTCCTAATGTCCAACATTATTTGTGTAACATTGATAAAAGGTTGAGGTTCAATATGTCACAATTTAAAAGTTCATGATGAACTTGCTACATGAGATACAATACTTCTAATTTTGCCATTCGATTAAATTCACTAAACACACAAGTTTAATCGTCAAGAAACAAAAAGTTGAATAGTACTTGTAAGTTTCTCAAGATGTGTTAAAAGTAGTTATAAATATGAGCTAAACATAGAATAATTGTCAAGGTGAAATTTCACACTCTTTTCATAGTCATCGATTTTTTTTTTTCCAAAATAGCATCTTAAATAAACATGGAGGCAATAGCAATTTTTTTGTTATTTTATTTTATTTTTATTAAGCCCTTGTTATATAGGGATTAAAATTATAATTTTAGTAAATTTTGATAAAAATTGATAAAATATATGATTGAAAAGTTTTGAGTTATGAAATATATGATTGAAATTAATCGTAAAATTTGATTTAAATTAAAAAGTTGATTTTAATTATCACCAAATAGCTATTAAATATAAGACTTTATCTATCTAAAAGGTTGAACCCCAAACTTGAAGGCCCCCACCACTCCGTCCTTGGAGTATCGTGAGGGGGATAAATCGCGGGATGTGTCCTAGCAGGCCAGGGAACAAGAGTTTACCCGTACACTGATGCCCACAAAGAATCCAATTTCATATCTCAGGAATCGAACTCTCATACTACGGCTGCCAGCAAGGTTAAGATTACCTCACTCATTTCCTTTACACCACTGAATTATGCTCCGAATGGACAACTTTATCTATCTACAATATATTAAAAGAGGGGATGGTGGAGAAACTTTTAAATACCAGATTTACCTCTACATATTTAACTATATGCCCACTATATCCTCATAATTGGAATACCAATTTGATTAGTATTTATCATTTGGTTTAAAATTAATATAATATAAGGAGTGAAATATTTAATTGATATTTATGATTTTGGATTGGAATTAATATAATGAGTGAAACTAATATTCAATTATATCAAAAAAACAAAAAATAAAATCAGTATCTTACTACTCAATTGACCATTTTGTTCTTACAATTTTTATTTTTCACTAACGAATCAATTTTTATTTTTCATCAATAAAACTCTTATTAATCTTCATGATTTACATTGTAATTCATGCAACGAGTTTTTATATTTCATCAATAGAGCAATTTTTAATCTTCATGATTCACATTATAATTCATCCATTAAGTTATTGTTTAATTGAGGTTACAAATATTTTAAAGGTTGCATTAATATATTAATGAGGACATTCAATGAATGAAAAAATAAATTATACAAGGAAATTCAATGACTAAAATTCAATTAATTTTTTTTCTTTACAACTTTTAATTTTCATTGACAAAGCCCTTAATACTAATTTAATTAATATTTATTATTAGATTTATAATTAATATAAGTGGCGAAATATTTAATTGATATTTATCATTTGGGTTGGAATTAATATAAGGAGTAAAACTGACATTCAATTATTGAAAAAAAATCAACAGAAATTTAGTAACTTATCATTCAATTTAGTATTTTGTTCTTACAATTTTTATTTTCAATCAACAAAGCAATTTTTTAATTTTCATCAACAAAATCCTTATTAATTTTCACGATTTACATTACAATTCATCCATTGAGTTTTTATTTTTCATTAACAAAGCAATTTTTAATTTTCGTCAACAAAGTCCTTATTAATTTTAATGATTTACATTATAATCCATCAATTAGGTCATTATTTAATTGAGGTAAAAAATTGAAAGGTTGCATTAATATATTAATTGGGACATTTGATCACTAAAAAAAATAATATTGTGTACAAAAAAATATTATTGTAATCATATCATCACGTTTTAGTTTATTCAACATAATATATATATATATATATATATA